CCTCCCCCTCGCCTATCCAGCTACTCATAACCCAACTCTGTCTTTGCAGCGGCAGCACCCAGCTAGTGCATGCACCCCCTTCCTCCAGCTTTCCTGCCTCTGCAGCTCCACCGAGGAAATCCTGCTCCGCTCTAGCTGGGGATTGCTGGGACAGGAGGGACCTTTCCCCCTTCCTGCTGGAAAATTGCAAGCCAGGAGTTTCTGATCTTTTCTCCACAACCAAGGAGGAACTGCGTGGGAGCACTTTGAGAGCTTTACGGTGGGAGGCAAGCAGGTTTTGCTTAGGGGAAGGGGAGCCAAAGGAGCTACTGATGTTTTAATCCAGCTTCCAGTGGCTCTTGGTTTGGGGAGGAAAAGGAGGATCTAACTGGGCCATTAACATGCTCTGATGCTTGTTTTACTGACTAGCAAATGCGGTGGGGGACGCTTCCCGTACCGATTCAGCTAGTCCAGGCAGCTGCTAAATAGTCTGCCTAGCTGGTCTTTCCGAGGCCGTCTAGTATGGATGCCGTAGCAGCGATAGCTTAAGGAAATAAGCAGGACTAGTGTAGGCAGAGGTGGTGTCTTTTATTCCACAAGTTTTCCTAGCTGGAGGACATGGAAGAGCTTTGGGATAGACAAGCCTTCTTCAGTTCTGCTTCTCTTTCGCACCCGAGGGGCTTGTGTTCCTGAAAGCATATTTCCTTTCTCTAATTTATAACTAAAGATATTGCCTCTCCTTAGCACCTTTGCTGGCATAAGACTCTCTTTGCAGTCAGGTACGCGATGTGCTTTTTGCAGCATAAGTGGGGAGAGCCGGCTCTGCCTGTGCTGGAAGGCTGTTACCTCGTCCTGGGCAAGACACGGAGAGGCTGACGCGGCTCAGCAGCGTGGCACTTGTGTCTGACCGAGTGTGGTTTGCCTGCCGTCCCGCACGCCTTTTTGATGGCGTGAAGCGGAGCGCTCCGAGGATGTGGCTCTCCTCAAAGGCTGCTGGCGGTATTCTCCCTCTCCTTTTTGCCTGTCTGGTTTATGTTTTAGTTTAGATTAATCCTTTTTTCTAGTTCCTCTGAACTCTTCTTGAATTTACCTGTTGGAGTTTGAGGTAGAGGAACCCCAGCTGATCCGCACGTGGGGAGCAGGGGCTGGATTTGGGAGGGAGGAGGTTACAGGTCTCATTGGTGTGGGAGGCTTCGATCTTCCTTCCTTTATCCCCCTCGTTACAGCTAAACCTGTTCTCAAGTCCTGTCTGTGCTGTTGAAACCTGCCTGCTGGTGAAACCTGCCAGCTGCCCCAGGTCTTCCCTTCAGTGACCAAAACTGCCAGAAATGGGGTTCGGCGATGGCCGTCGGTGATGCTCAGCACCGCCTGACTCCCCTCTGAGCCGAGGTCTGGGGGTGCCAACTCCTGGATCCCCACTAGCCACGGATGCCCGGGGGGGCTAGGTGGTCCTTGTCCCCGAGCCCTGGCAGAGGTTGCGGTCGGGGGTGCCGGCAGGGCAGTTTTGAGGGGTTTTGCAGGGTTTTGCGGTGTGTCCGGCATTGCTTGCCGCCCTCTGGTGGAACGAGCCTTTCTGCATGGGGCTGCCTGGGCGGCGGAGCAAAGCTTCGGCTTTATTCCTGCGTCCGAACACAAGCCCCTGCGAGGCTCAGGGGACCAGCCTGTCCCTGCCTGCCCGGCTGGCTGGGACCCAGGCAGACCGATACCCAGCTGCGGGGAAAAAGCTTTTGCGTGCGTCAGGGTAGATGTACCTGGAGGAGGCGGAGAGGTGTTTCTGGTGAGCCTGTAAGAGGAGTGAACGGTGACTGCGCTCCCCTGCGACCCAGGTCTGCTGGCCCCTCGGCTCCCGGTACCTTTTGCTTATCCTGAAGCCCCCTTAGAGCCCTGCCTGGTTCAGACAGACTCTCTTCTGGTAAAATGGTTTTAGCGTTCAGTGTGTGCTCGCTGTTTCCCAGGTGGGCCTTAGTCAAGTATTAGAGGGTGCTGGGGGTGTGATTGATGTCCTCGCTGAGGTCTTTCTTATTTTCCTGGCAAAGCTTTCTTGAAGGGTTTGAACCTGCCGATAGACATGCCTAATCCCTGGATGCTGGAGTCTGGTTTGCAGACTTGCCAGCCAGAGTGAATCTCCTGCAGGAATCCTGGGCAAAATCCTGGCTTGCGCCAGCTCTCAGAGCAAACTCAGGACCTGGGGAGCCCGTGGGCCTCTGTTTTTCTCCCTGACTGCGTGGGCTGAGAGGCTGAGCATCACTGGGGTAAGAGCGGGAGTGCTGGAACGACTGTGTGCCACCTCCTGGCACGGCCTTCGCTCTCGAGGACACGGGCAGCTTGTAGCACCAGCAGCCCAGATCTGTGGCGTAGGATCCTTCTCCGGTCTCATCGTGGCGGCGGAGAGAGGAGGGAAATGACGGAAAGACGGAAAGTCAAGTCCAAAGCCATTGTAGCGCCAAAAGCCTGGAAAAAAACTTATCTCCAATCTCCCTTTTTAAAAATTTTTTAATAAAGCCTTTTGTTTTTGCAGTAATCTCATCCTCTTGCCGGCCCAGTATTTTCCAGGCTCTCTCCCACCCCTCTCCCTGCGGCTCGGGGGGGCTGCGCTGGTGTGTACGTACAGCAGAAGGTGATCACACACTGTGCGGATTTTACTGCTCCCGCGAGGGACGTTTTCTGGGGCTGTTTTTCCGATTATTTCACTGAATCCTCCCGTAAACCCGATCTAGCCAGGGTCCCCGTTCTCCCCCTACCCCCACTCCGAGTGGTGCGCGGGGGGAGAGAGAATCTCTTTTCCAGGGAAGGATCTGTAGCTTATTCGGCACCCACACAGCAGGTCAGCGAGTGGGCGAAGTCTGATGTTCGGTGCTGTCTGATTACCCGTGTCTGAGGAGGGAATTAATTCCTACCCGAGGCATGCCCCGTGGATTGTCTCTCTGGCGGGAGCAGAATGTATGGTCCGTGTGTCCTGCCCGCTGCAGGTTCTGGCATGGAAAAAAATTTGGGATAACCCAAGCAATAGAGGCTGCATTCAGCTCCCTGCAAGTGAGGTTGGTCCCACCACTCCTGGTGGGTAACCTCAGTTGGACGCGTCTGGCATGGCGTGTAATACATGTGATGGTGGGAGTCTCTTCATCACGGTGACGTTGCCACCTTGGGGGCTGTGTCTGCAGCCCGTTCCTGCCCTGTTCTCTACCCAGGTCTCTTCCAAAGGCATTTGGGGTTCAGAGTGGCTCCAAATGTGCCCGTCACTTTGAAACCCACAAGCAAGTTCAGATTATGCGGGTGAGATGGTTGTGTGCTTTACCCAGTCTCAAACACTTTGTCCGGCAGCTCTAGAGTCCTGAGCGCAAACGTGGTGGAGCCCGTCGGTAGGTAGGACCTTTGCTGAAGTTCAGCGCTGGGAAGAGCCCGCTCTTGTGATGGCGTTGTGGTAGGCACCAGAAACCCCCGTGCACTTGTCCTGCCAGGTAAAAGAGAATGGTGCTGCTGGGTCTGTCCTTACTTGGGAGCGCAGGCTCTAGGATCTGTTTGGGATCTGCTGGAGGGCAGATCTGCCATTCAGAGAGACCTTGACGGGCTGGAGAAAATGACTGACAGGCACCTTGTGAAGTTCAAGGATGAAGAATGTGAAGTCCTGCACTTGGGACAGAATAACCCCGTGCAACAGGGCGGGCAGGGGCTGAATGGCCAGGGAGCAGCTCTGGAGCAAAGGATCTGGGGGTCCTGGGGACAGCTTGGGGATCAGCAGGTGTCCTGAACAACACCGACCGACCGCGTCTCGGGCTGTGCTGGCAGGAGCACGGCCGGCAGGGCCAGGGACGGGGTCCTTTGCCTCTCCTTGGCGCTTGAGACCCAGCCGGGCTTGGGGTCCAGGCTGGGGCTCCCCAGTACAACACAGTGACAGACAGAAATGAGTCCAGTGGAGGGCACCGAGGTGGGCGGGGGTGGAGCATGGGGCGCGAGGAGGGTCTGCGAGCCGGCTTCTTCAGCCGGGAGAAGGGAGAAAGGGGGATCCCTTTGCTGTCTGCAGCTGCGTGAGGGAGTGCGGAGGAGATGGAGCCAGGCTCTCGTGATGCCTAGGGATGGGATGGGAGGCAACGGGAACAAGGTGCAGCAAGGGAAATTCTGGTTGAACGTAAGGCGTGTTCTTGCCCACGGGAGTTGTGCAGCCCTGGAACAGGACCCAGAGAGGCGCCGAGATCTCCATCCTTGGACGTACTCAACACTTGAGCAGATAAGGTCCCGAGCATCCTGATCCAACTTCGAAGCTGACTCCGCTTTTGAGCGGGAGGTTGGATTAGGGACCTTCAGAGGTCCTTTCCAGCATAAATTTTTCTGTTTCCGTGATCTGAGTTTGTGTGGTTTCTGATGCACTCCTTACCTCCTGAGCCTGCGCTCGCACTGGCACCTCATCCTCGGCTGTGTGTTCTGACTGGTGCTCGGAGGAGGCAGTGTTGCTGGGAAATCCTTTCTCCATCCCGCCTGCCCTTGCAGGTTGGGTTGTTGCAACCTCTGCCCCGGTTGTGTCTTTGCGTGGTCTCAGTGGCATTGAGCTCCAGGGGAAAAGAGAGACAGAGGGTCTTGAAATAACTCTGGAAGATGGCTGGGATATGGAAGCTGCAGAGAATAATTTTGGGCCCAATGAGTGAGAATGTGATTCTTGTGCGAGCTGAGCAGCTCCCAGAGAGCTGCTCAGGCAGCCTGTCCTCAGAAGAGAGGTGATTGACTTTCTCTCTTTGCAGTCCCAGGTGAACGTAAGTGCACGCTGCTTAATGAGCCCCTTCCTTCCGTCCGTCCTTCCCTCTGTAATGTGGTGTCCCAGAGGATCTAAGAGTGAGATGTTGTACTCCACGGTGCTGTCCAGGTTGGGGCGCGAAGTGCTCTGTGGTGATCTTAGACCTGGCAGCAGACTAGACGTTGGTGGCAGCTTCAGATTTCATTGCCCAGCCAAGGTTTCTGCTGTAGTGAACACAAAAATGCAAAGGTTCACGTCATGGGATCTTACTAAGCTAATTTTTCCTGTCTTTCAGGCCCAAGGGGCTCCCAGGAAGAGCAGAATCTTGGAGGATGATTCGTCATTGAAGGAAAACGCGGGTCTGCTTGCTCAGAATGAATATGAAGAAGACAGCTCGGATGAAGAGGTAGGACCCATTGCAACTTTTTCTTTTATACGTGGATACGAGGTAGAGGTGAAGTGTTTCCCTCTGCGTGCTGCCTTCTCTGCGAACTCAGGGGAGGGGATGTGGTCAAGCAACGTTGTCCCTGAAAGAGAATCGCCCAGACTGCTCTTTGCTGCTAGTGCACAGCAGGCCAGAGGCACCAGGTCAGGGCTCTTACGGAGACTCCTGGTGAGGGTACATTGCTCAGGTGCGTCGCTTGGAGCATCTGGGGCAGCCGAAAGGAGTGTCCCATCCACCTTGGAAAGGACAGTGCTTCCCGTATGGGAAGAACCTCCCTTCCACCCTTCCTGGAAGTCCTTCCAACAAGCGCCGTCTTTGCCCAGCCAGAGCTGGGGCTTTCGGCCCAGGGTCAGGAGAGGGTTTCTTCAGCCGCTTAAAAGGTGACTGAGCCTCACTTGTGGCCCTTGGGGTTACGTTTGCTGTTCAGGGATCTGCCCTGCTCTCGGAGGGAACCTCTCCGAGTTTCGTGCGTCGGAAAAGCTTGGAAACTGCTTGTGTGGAAGATAGCAGGATCTCAGCAGTAAAATGCCCCTAGGGTTTGGTTGTTCCAGAGAAACTCCATTGCCTTTCTTAATTGTCTGCTAAATCAATTAGCGCGATTGGCGTCAATCAGCTGTTTCAGTAGAGCCCTGGGGTCGGGATAGAGGGATTGCCAAGGGCTGTGGGGGCGTTTGGATCTGGCCCTTATTGCTGGGATTTAGGTTCACCTGAAAGGGTACTGGGTAGCCTCATACATGACTTGGACAAATGCTTGGAGAAGCCTCCTGGGCGCCGGTTAGGTGGAATGTTTCAGGCTGTCTCCTGCTTAACCGCTGACAAGTTACAGAGCACAGAAAATCCTGTGTGACCAGGCAGGTGAGGAGCCAGCCGGTGCCTGCTGCGCGCTGCAAGCACTCTGACAGCTCGCTCGTGTGGGGCACCGACCCCCCGGCCGTGGGTATGGGGGGGACGTCGGGAGTAACGGCAGCGTAGCACCCGGGGCTTGGGATGGGAGTTTCCTGAGCGGGGATGTGAGCGGGACTCCTGGCTGCGCACCCAGCTTCAGGAGAGCTCTTTGGCATCACGGACAGTTCAAAGGGTCTGGGTTTGTGCTTACTGGTGCTTTGAGCGTTGCATCTGTTCCTGTTCCAGTCCCAGCGGAGCGGAGGGGGAAGATTGGGTGCCTGCCGGCCTTTCTGGTCCAGCGAGGGCCCGAAAGGTTAGATGTTAGAGGCCCACCTGGGCTAGCGCTGGAGCTGCCGGCAGTCCCTGCCCCCGGGTCTGGAATAGAGATTTAGAGCGAGGGGAAATATATGACTATAGAAAACATACACTTGTGTAATGTCTCCAGCATAACCTAGGAAAAAAACCCTTTCATGCAGGAATTCAAGGTCTCTTTCTCCCCAGCTGGTCCTGCTTCAGGGCCCCGGTGGGGGGAGCGCTGATTCAGAACCTGTTGACATCAGAGCAGCTTCCAGTGGCTTTGTTCCTTGTTCCCCGTTCCCAGCCCCCTGCCCTCCCTCTGTAATTGTATTTATCTCTCTTCCATAAGAACCCTGATGCTTCTGCTTCCTGCGGCTGGGATGCGCACACTGGGTGCTTTGTGCTCGCCTCCACGAGGAGCATCGCCCAGCGCTTGTCTGTCGCTTTGTGTCTCGGTGGCCCAGAAGCGCTGGGAGGCGAGGGCAGCATCCCCCGTTCAGGCAGGGACAGCTCGGAGGAGAGTAGGGCCAAGAAAACACTTTCTTGCTGCGAATAGGATCTGTATCTTTCTATTTTTCAGTGTCTCTGTTTTTGTGTTGAGACCTAGCTTGCATCGCAGCCTCATCCCAATTAATGTGTAGCCACGTCCTAATTAAAGTCTTCGTGAAATGCAATGCTTTAGCGCGTTGCTCTTCAGAGGGCACTTCAGACATGTACGTCCTCTGGGTTGTTGGTGCCGGCTGGGGGGGAGCACGGCCCAGCCCCACCAGCGGGCACTGGTGCTTCTCCCACAGCCCGCGGTTTCGGTCAGCCTGGCCCGGGGTGGGAACCGCGGCCGCCGGTGTCAGCGCGGGGCGCGTTACCCCCGCCCTCGTCCCTTGACCGGAGGCGGCTGGTCCACGGGCCGGCTGTGTGTCGGGGGTTGGCTAGGTGCAGAACTGGGCTTCGGAGGGTGCACAGCGTGCCGCCTGCGTCCTCCCGCCCCTGCTGGCTGTGCCACCAGCCTCACGCAGGTGTGTGGCTTCACCGCCTTTAAGGGAGCCAGCAAAGGGCAGTATTTGGTGATGGGACTGTGGGTCTGGGGTGGAGGGTCCAGATCCACCCTTCTCTGAAAGGCAATGTGATCCCTCTGGACGTCCCAGCCCAGGGGTTAGCTGTGTGGTGCAGCCTGAACCTGGCACCTTGAGAGCAGAGCGGAGAGAGCACGTGGAAGCTGGAGCTGGCGTGGCTGCAGCACCCCCTTTCCTGCCAGACTGGGGGTCCCAGCCTTCGTCTGTGCATCGGGGCAGCCAGCCGGGGAGGGGGGGGCCCGGCCGGGGCACGGCACAGAGCGCCA